GAATAAATGGCACAGCAGCACACAGATGCCCATAATGTGCTTTGCTGCACGTTACCACAACACAATAGTCTAAGGCAGTGTCGTCCAAAGTTTGTGAGTCCACAGAACCCCTGAATAAAATTTTCATTGTTGCGTAACCCCACCCCTCCCCCAGAGTGAAAACATTATTAAATGCGATCAGTAATATTTATTCAGGTACATTTTTTAAGACTAACAACTTTTATTATAATACTAGTATAATTGGAAATTTAAATTGAAAATGACATCTAGAAATGTATAAACATCAATTCTATCATAGCATGTCATGAACTTGATTATATGAGAATTGTTGTGTAAGAATCATAGTATGCTATGAGCATCACAGTCATACATACATAAGAAGCCAATTATGAATATTGAAATCTAATGGGAAGCGACAGCTTGCTTGCGATCACAGATCAAACTTATTCGAGGCTCGCTGGTGGACAAGCTCACACGCATTTCTTCATTGATTATTTGAAGTCTCTCTCGTTTCTTTGACTTCATTTCCGTTAATACTGAAAACCCCAGCTCGCAAAGGTATGAGCTACCAAACGGCAACAGCAATTTAAACGCTTCCATGCTAAGCAGCGGATTTTGAGCTTTCAAACATATCCAGAATTCGAGAGCTCTTTCTCAGCAAAGAGATTTTTATACACCAGACCATTTCTCAAATCGATGAGGTTTTCTTCAGCTTCTGGTTCGAAAATATTGATTTCATGTTTGATGAAAGGATTGAGCACCCACTCGATTCCGGAGACATCCATGTTTGCGAAATATTTCTGGAAAGAAAGTTTTGAATATTTCCAAATTCTTTCTGCGGAAATCTTGGAGCTTCTTGCGGAACCCTTGGGTTCCGCTGAACACACTTGGAACAACACTGGTCTAAGGGCTTGTCACACTTGACTGAATTTCTAACTCTTCAAAAACGCCCCTATAGAGTTAGTATGGGGGTTAGACAGGCATTAATGAGCTTTAGTATGATCATTTTACAAGTGTTAAAAACGCACCCCAAGCACCCTATGCATGGTTTTGAGGCGTTTTATAGGCATTTTACAAGCGTTTAAAACCACACCACAAATGCCTATAATAAACTCTAATGGTATTAACACCCTGCAAATGCCTGCAAGTGCATTTGAGGAGTGTCAACATAGACCAGAATGGGAGGCATTGAAAGAATTCAACTCCTTCTTACTCGACATGAGGCTTAAATTTTGAAGGGATGTGACGCTAACACTTCATGTTTTGATAAAGTGAACAGCACTGTGTGCTGCCCATAGTATAATTTCCATAGGTGTTTGAGGAGCATTAAAAACGCCCCTCAAATGCCTGATTTCAAAGCCAGTGTGAACTAGGCCTAAATCAGTATTTTTCAACCTTTTTTTAGACAAGGCACCCTTTAAAATTATAGACAGTCCCGAAGCACCCTTTAAAATTATGGACAGTCTTGAGGCGCCCCATTCTGAAATGCAAAAAACTATTCTAATAGTGTTATTTAATGCAGCAACATCCACACATGTAGTATACCCAACTCTAGAGGTGATTTATTCTTCCAAAGCAAATACACTTTTGCACACTGGTACTGACTAGTATTCTAGTTTTTCTCTTCTCCACAAGTTTTTCTCCATCACTCAGCTAATGTGATCTCAGCACCGATGAAGAGGGGCAGGAGAGGTTCAAACTAGGATGCTGTGCAGGCAGCCAATATCCTCCTTATCAACTGATGATTGGTTGTCAGAATGTCGGCAGCTAGAAGGTCGTAATGGTGCACAATGAAAACCTGTGGCTTTGTGTAACTAAAAGGCGGGCTTGTCCCTCCCACTGGTTTATATACAAGTTTTGGGCAATTTTTAGACATTTTTCCAAGGCACCCCTGAAGAAACCACAAGGCACCCTGGCTGAAAAAGGCTGCTCTAAATCAAGTGTCGAGGTTTTCATCTACTGTAAATAAAAGCAAATATGTGTAGTGGTCTCCTGTGACTAGACTGATAGCTTCATGTATGTACATTTTTTTGATCCAACAAAGATGAATAAAGATAAGATTACACAGTATTATTCTGGCCTAAAGTGTATTTTTGCAGCTAAACTGAGATAATACCTATTTTATATATATGACTTGTTCCCATCCACATAGCATAACTAGGTAAATAATGTTGCTAACCTTTTTGACTTGCTAAACCATTCTACCTAGCTTTGCCCCTCTATGTAATGTTAAAGTAACATCAAAAGGCTCTTTTTTGTTGTGTGAAAATAACAAACATGCTATACTAACCTGCCCTGTGTAATGGTTTTGTATGAAACAGCCCCGATCCTCCTTTTCTCAAGTCCCCCCCCCGGTAGTGCTCCTGGCTCCACTCCCCCACTGAGTGCTCTGGGGGCATTCATACGTGCTTGCTCCTGAGCCAGCTCTGTGTGTCCATAAGAAACACAGAGTGGGGCTCGGGCCTGCCTCCTGTCCCATGTCACTGGCTCTGATTGACAGCAGTGGGAGCCAATGGCTCTTGCTGCTGTACCTGAGCCAATGAGAAGTGAGAGCGCCAACAGAGCCTTGGCTCTTGTGCACATTGCTGGATCCAGATCGGGCTCAGATATGTATTTAGGGTAGCTGTGAGGGAAGCTGCATGCTGAAGGTTTTTTCTACCTTTCTGCATAGAATGGAAGATTCCCCTCTATTCCTGTTCTGGGGACAACCCAAAATGTGTGATTTTTTTTTTCACTATCACTCTCTGTGATAATGCTAAACTGGACAAATAGAAAGAGTGAAAGTACCTAATGGTGGCACAGACAGCAAAAAAACCTGTCCCAGTGAATCTCCACTCCATCCAAAACAAAACAAAAATATAATTTGCCTTTACTTATGCTTTAATGCATTTTATGAAAAGGTCCCAAAATCCCTTAGGATTGTTTGTGAGCTGCCTATGGAGTTCTATGTATAAACCAGTTCTAAAGAAAAAAATGGAAACGTAAGAGATATTTTTAATATTATTTTTAGGTATGCGGTGTGACTATAGTGGGGGGCTCTCAAATCTGACTGCAAAAGTGGGAATACATTTTAAAGCCCTTCATGGTGGAAGGTAAAATAAATCTTAACGCAGGAACACACTTTTGCAGCTTTGACCTGTGTTAGTAAAACTGTACATATCATCACAACAACAGTGTATCCAAATGAATTATACCTTGCTTATTCCAGGACAAGAAGAACAAAAAAGTCTCTTTCTCATCCTACCAGGTCTGCTATTAACCCATAAACTGTCAACCAGGCAAAGGAGCCCTCCACAAAACACAATACTTTCCAAACTAAAAGAAGAACTTGAAACAAATTTGGATTTTTGTGCCCAAATCCATTTTTTCTATGAGTTTTAAAATTATTTCAGGACAAATTGGGCTTTCATTTGGTGGTAAATGGTAACAGATATCTCCTGATTTTTTTTCTTTTTCAAAGGAAACCTAGCACAAAATAGTAAATTAACACATTTTTACCATAATCTACCACCAAAAAATAACCAAAAATAAAATTTTCATATTCCTGACAATTACAGCAATTCCACATATTATACTATTTATTGTTTGGACATAGTGGGGTAGATTTACTAAATCTGGTGCACACAGGATCTGGTGCAACTGTGCATAGTAACCAATCAGCTTCTAACTTCAGCTTGTTCAGTGAAGCTTTGTCAATAAAACCTGGAAACTGGTTGGTTACAATGAACAGCTGCAACAAATTGTGTGTGCGCCAGTTTTAGTAAATCCCCACCATTATATTATTTGTTGTTTGGACCCATAGCAGGGCCCAGTAACAATGGTGTACATTTTGCTTTTTTTTAACCTACCTAAATCACACTCACACTTGGAAGCAATATGTAGTAAATGTGTATTAAAGAAATGTATTGTATTTTGTACGATGTATTTTAAATGTATAATAAGCAATAAAGAGTATTAAAAAAAGCACACTGACATTAACTGACACTGATACTTAATTTAAAAAAGCTTTTTTTAAACCTACCTAAAATACACTTACCCTGACATTTGATCATGACCTTTGACTTTAACCAGGACCTTTTACCCTAGCCGTGACCTTAACACTAGCCCTGAAACTGACTCAGATCAAACCCTGATATAACTATTTTATCTTTATTTTATATATTTTTACAAACATTTCTTTGTGTACATTTTTTCTCTAACAAGCACAAAAAGCTACAATGTAAGGTTTTCTTCAATCAAGAGGAGAAAAACAAACCCATGGGTGGGCTATACAGTGACTTATCACTGTGATAACCAATCAGAAGCTATCACAGTGATGAGGTGATCTGGAACTCCTGGCCTCCCAGTTCCCAAAACATGGTGACTCTCAGTGAGAGCTGGGTCCTGTGCTGGGAGCACATCGTGCAGTGCATTCTCAGCACAAACACAGAAGGTCCACTTCTGTGAGGCCTCATATATGTGTACTCTCATTGGGAAGGGGTTAAACAACAATGCCAGCCAACAATAAACTGAATTAGTGGGTTAACAATGCTTTCCAACTCAGAAATTTCAGTTTACCTTAAAGTGTTACTAAACCCAGGACCCTGCATTCACTACACTATTCATTACTCCACAGTACACAGAACATGGAAATTATTTTAGTAAATATAAACTGATAAATACCTTTTCTCATCAGCAGTATATAGCAGTCTTGTGACTTTTATCAGTGTCCAGCTGAGCATTGATTAAAGCTTGTAGGAGGAGTTTTCATTCTCCCCTGATTGTTCTATGAGGCTATAAGACCCCTGACCCACTGTCTGGATAGTGCTGATTGGCCCTGTGCTGATCACATGCACTCTACCAAGAAAAAAAAAAACCTAAAGTAATACACACCAAACTGAGCATGTGTAGCCTGCCCCCAAGGCTCTGTTCTATCAGCAGATGGTTTGTAAACAAAGAGGAAAATCAGAGAAGATAGGATCAACCATCCTTTCTACACAATGCTGAAAATTAACCCCTTAGCAGGGCCGGACTGACCATTGGGGAACTCGGGCACTGCCCGAGGGCCCGGGGTCAGTATGGGGCCCCATGAGATGTCCCTGGTACCTTTCATAGGCTTTTTTGGGTGTGATTTGAGTGTGGGTGAGGGCACAGGGGCCCAATGATCCCCTATTGCCCAGGGGCCCCATGAGTTGTCAGTCCGCCCCTGCCCCTTAGGTTACAAAATGAGTATAACAAGCATGCTTTACTGCATATGCAGACTGATTTTACTCTTGTGGGTTTAGTAACACTTTAATAGGAGTTTATGGTAATCCCTGAAGCCAGAATAAAGAAAGCACCTCACAGGCTCACTGACAATATACTGCCTGATACCTCCCTGTTTAATTTATTCTACCTCTTTGCTTCCTGTATCATTATTCACATTCTACCCTCCAAGGAAGGTTTAAATTTGATTTGTGGTTGTAAAATATTTCTTGGTTATGGACATATTATATAGAAGATCCAGCAAGAAGCCTCCAGTGAAAGTGTTTAGGACCCCTTGATAAAGTGTATTGTGACAAAATGATTTGGGATAAAGCCTGTGAGAAACCCATGTTTAGACATGCCCACACAAAGAAGTGGATTTGTATTTTACACAACAAGCTCTTTGATATAAGTGCGAGTTATGCACCAAATAATGTGAGTGGACTAATTGCTTTTTACATATAGTTTTTAATAGACAAATGAGGATGCTCATGGGATGCTTTATGGGCCTGGCTTGCATTTTATAATAAATGTTGCCACTCCCAAAACTGGCCAAAGCAGCTCCCTACAATAAAAATCATTGTATACTTACCTTACTTAACTTACTTGACTCTTCAACATTCAGTACAGGGAGTGTTGAATATTTGTGTCCCCTGCTGTGCACCGTGGTTCTATCCCCTGACCCACTACATCACTTTTGAGTCCCCTGATTGGAACTTATGGTAAGCCTCAGAGGGAGTTCTATAGTCCACACAAGATCTACATTCCTTCAAAGAACATGGTTGTCTGGCACATAAACACAAAGGCCCTGGCAAGCAGTTCTGTTTTTTGCCTTTGGAGTCAACTGATCAGGCAACTGTCTTCTCACCATGACAGGTACCTTTATTCTACATACTGTATAGACATAAGATAGCAGCCCTAAAAAACATACAATCTAGAGTTGATCACTTGTTTAGTTAAAGATAATCTTCGGGCATAAAAACTTTAATTTAAATATATTCCTCAATAGCCACAAAGGAAAAAAACATATTGTATACACCAAATGTATTTACAAACCTGGCCAAAGCAGCTCTCTACAATAAAGGAGATTGTATACTTACCTTACTTAACTTGCTTGACTCTTCAGCATTCAGTACAGGGAGTGTTGAATGTTTGTGTCCCGAGCACAAGCATTCAACCAAATATATTTACAAACCTGGTTCCTACCTTGTAATAGTAACTGTAACATCATCACTGTGCTGCACTTAGACTGTGCAGAGAGCAGAACTGTGGGAGGAACCCAGGAGGCCCCACCTAATACAGACTGGCTGCAGGAAACTACAGGAGGGGGCAGATACCAGACCAGTCACCCTGCACAAGAAGAGACAGCAGCAGTGACTGGTCTTAATTCAGGAAGTTCCTGCACAAAGGCAAAGATTTACAATGGATCACTGCCAAGATCTGGAAGGCATACTGAAACCACACCAAGATTCAAGTGAGAATACACAAGCCTCTTACATTTAGACAATATTTGCCTTTACTAGAATTCAGCTTTAAAGTTGAAGTACACCTTTTCACAAAAGATGGAAAGGTGAACCAACACTCTATACCCAACCCCCACCCATCTCCCCAATCCCTTCTGCAATTACCTTCATTGGTAATTAGCTGTCACAGCGTATGCAGCCAGCGTACAGGTCTGAGGATTTTACATTTCTGCTATTTTTCTCCTTCTTTCTGTAAGGCTTCTAGGATGTATCAGAGCAATTTAGATTAGTCAAAGCAGTCACGTGCTGGTACTGACCAATCAGAATCACTCTTATCTGTCCTGAAAGCCCTCCAAAAGAGGGATAGGAAGAGCAGGGATTACAAATACCTGGACAGGTACACCATCTGTGTATGCAATGACAGCTAACCACCCACAAAAATGAGTGCAGCATGGACTGTGGGGTAGGGAGGGTGTAGAGTGTTAGCTCACTTTTTAATCTTTGTGAAAAAAGGTAAACTTAGGTTTTAAGGAATATGTTGTCCAATTCATGTGGAACTGGATATATTTGCCTATTTTTCAGCATCTGAAGAATATTTTTACATTTTATAATAATTGAATAATTGTGCACACATCTTTTGGAACCTGGAAGCACCATTTCCATGTCGCTCAACACCACCAGGCTTCTCTTTCAATGTTAAAGAAATATTTGCTGAAAAGTTTGCATGAATAAGGAATTAATAATAAACCTCAGAAACATTGTTTCAGGCCTATGGGTAGCCTTATAGTCCACAAATTCCAGACCAGTGGTATGTGTCCTCTAGGGTTAGCTAAAAAAATGGAGTTTAAATAGAGCCTACGTAGTTCAAGTGCTGAGTACCTAATTCCTTACATTCCCAAAAACTTACCTATAGACCCCATCATTATGTTTATTGTTATGAATAGATGGAAATTCCCAGTAGATGTGAATATGGAGAAGCATGTAAGTCACACAATGTTACAGCACTTGGCCAATCAAAGTCCATAGCCAAGTGTACAACTTTGGGGACTTACAGCTTACACGGGACTCTCTCCCTGCAGCTGAACAGGGTGGAGGCAGAAAAAAGGAAGGTAGGTATATTGGTTTGTGAAGATCTGCCTAAAAGTGAACCTGCTGCATTGCTCTGCATGCACAAACCACAGTTTTACTTTAATTTATGAGTCCCAGCATGAATGACTATATTTAGGTTTCTTACACATGGGCATAAAAACAAGACATAGAAACATAGGAACATAGAAATGTGATATCAGTGGTCCATCGAGTCTGACATATATATATATATATATATATATATATATACACTGTATGTATATTGACTGAATGTACTTCACCCTGATGAACAGAGTATTGTGTTCAGCATTGCTCAATAACTACTGTTTCAATACATCCAGGATGTTTATGGCTGTGTAAACCTTGGGCACCTACAAAGTCCCATTTGAAATACTTGATTTACACTTTACTATAATTAGGATGTGGTGTCTGTGTTTACAACCCACCAAAAATGTATGAGTTTTTCAATACAAATATGGCCTGTTCAAATCCAGCCTGCTAAATGGGTAGCACTATGGGGTAGATTTACTGGCACACTGATGCAGCTGTGCATGGTAACCAATTAGCTTCTAACTTCAGCTTGTTCAGTTAAGCTTTGCCTTTAAACCTGGAATCTATGCAGAGCTGCATTAGATTTTGCACGCTCTAGTTTTAGTAAATAACCCTATATTTGTTGGCACTGATGTTGCAGCCATTATTCTTCGTGTCTCCTCCACAATCAGGAATTCAGCAAACCACAGACATGTGTCCTAAATGTTAGAGCATTAGTATATACCCCCAAACTACTCATACAGAAGAATAGATTTTACACAGTACAGGCAGGCCCCGAGTTACAAACATCCGACTTACATACGACTCATATTTCAGAACGGAGGCAGCATGATGTCAGGCTGGTCCTGGAAACTGCAGGGCAGTCATCTTGCTGCTCACCGCATGCTGCCACCTACTGTCCAGCGAACCTGTCAGCAATCCCACATCACTGCATAGCCATTTAACCCTTCCCTATGCTATCCAAAACTTAAAGATAATTTTTTGACTGGAGTTACACTTGAAAAAAATACTAGTTCCAACTTACATACAAATTCATCTTAAGAACAAACCTACAGAACCTTGTTTGTAACCCTGGGACAGCCTGTATGGTTTTCTCGAGTGTGTATGGCAATACTTTCAGTAGGAAAAGTTCACTGCATGGAGCATTAAATATCACAGCACAGGAACACAGGAGGTTGCAGATGGTGATTTTTTAATTATCTCCACTGATATAATGGAGAGAGATAAGCACAGCACTGCACTGCTCCATAGCAGTAATTGTGAGCAATCCAATATGCACTCCATGTACATATCAGGTAATGAAGAATTGTCCACGGGTCTCATGCTTTTGAAACAGTCATATCATTTTATGCAAAGTGCTCTTCGGATTAGTCTCAACATTGAATGGTTATTGACTGGTTGTTACTTTGCCTTATTACATGAGTATCAAAGGGTTAAAGTATATGGATGTCTTCAGAGTGTGACAGTACATGGTGCTTGCAGAATTGTACTGATCTTCATATTTACTCTAACCTTGGAGAATTTCACAAGTAGGTCAGGACAGAAAAAAGTTCCGTAATAGCACTGTTTGCACAGCCAGTGTTTGCAATGGCTAAAGAAAAGACGTGATTGATTTATGCTTCTTCCCAACTTTGATGGTAAAAGAGGAACCCAGGAATCCATCGTTCCTCTGAAATTGCTGTTGTGTGTCAGCCGATCTTGACAGTTGTATGAACATCTGTTCCCCTCCTGTGTGGATGTCATGTAGTGCACAGCTGTAAGCTTTAGCTGGTTCTTTCTGCCAGCATCTGTCACCACAATACAACCAACCAGACAATTGTCCTCACACTAAAAACCTAGACTATTTGTCTTTACACTTTTTATGTCTGTTATGTGAAATATGTTAGCAAATTCTACCATGCTAATAACAAGAAAGTTATAAACTTGACATACAAGACAGGCCGTTCGTCACAAACACCCTCTTCCCCCATGTACCTAAGTTCCTATCAAACAACCATTCAGGTTAAAGTAAAATGTCACTTTCCTACTTTAGAAAATAAAATTTAAAAAAAAATTATGCAAGCATTTGTTTTGTGCTGTTTTGGTTGGACAATTTTAAAAGTAAAACCAGCAAAAATTGGTGGCACAAAAAAAATCTACAAGATTCTTAATAATAATGGGCAGCACAGTGGCTAAATGGTTAGCACTTCCGCCTGGCAGTACTAGGGTTGTTGGTTTGAATCCCAGCCATGGCACCACCTGCCTGGAGTTTGCATATTCTCTCTGTGCTGGCGTGGGTTTCCTCCGGGTACTCCAGCTTCCTTCCACACTCCAAAGACATGCTGGTAGGTTAATTGGTTCCTGTCGAAATTGACCCAAGTATGTGTATGTAAGGTATATTAGGTAAGCACTTTAGATTGTATGCCCCTTGAGGTTTAGGGACTGATGTGAATGTACAATATATATGTAAAGCGCTGTGTAAATTGACGACGCTATATAAGTACCTAAAATAAACTAAAAGATACAAGTTTTAAAAAGTGACACAAGGCCTTTATCATTCTTACTACTTTTATATTTCAGCATTTAAAGTTGTATTTATTTGTATTAAGTAGGCATTGCTCTGTTTTCAGCTTTCCTTCTCTCTTGCAATGGAAAAAACGTAAATAGGTCTGCTCCATTATTGCACACCTAGGGCATTCCTAAAATACACCCATCACAACCAGCAAAATTGAAGTGGGATGTGCACAAATATAAATGAAGAGGATGGAAACCTGATCAAATGATGTATGTGTAAGCATGGAAGGGTTAGAACCTAGGTTAAGTTTTTGTATCTGACCAAACCAGGGGCGGACTGACAACTCATGGGCCCCCCACGGGCAATAAGGTATTATGGGCCCCCTGTGTCCTTGCCCAAACTCAAAAAAAACCTATGAAAAAGTTACAAGGGGCATCTCATGGGGCCACCTACTGACCCCGGGCCCTTGGGCAGTGCCCGAGTTTCCATATGGTCAGTCCGCCCCTGGACCCAACTGGGAAGAAATACTACTCACTCCTTGTGCCCTGTCACTGGAGTTAGCCAGGTTCAGTAATCAGACAGCAATAAAAATCTGAGTGAGCTTATACCTATCTATCAAAAACATAGGGATTTATATATATATATATATATAATATATATATATATATATATATACACACACACATATATATATATTAACATGCAAGGCACATATGTTACAGAACATCCAAATTATATACTTGCCAAAAATGCAACATTGAATAGCAGTTTCTTTAAAAGTCAGGCAAAACAACTTACTGCATGGCATCATTAGCCATGTTAGGTGCTTGCACTGGTATCTGTCAGGAAATATAACTCAATATTTAATTACAGTATAAGTTGCATGATATTGTATGCAGTATTGTCACATGAACTTTTTGGAGTTCCTACCCTAGATTTTAATGTGTCCTTCAAACCAATCCGCAGCAAGCATAGTAGCTGTGTTCCTCCTTGTCTACCCATGAACAGGATCCCCTGCTGGTACTAAAGGTATGTTAATTATAAAGAGGGTTGTTCATTTTTATGACATGGCAAACAGTGATAAATGTACAATATCTTTTAATCTGAATTTGCACTGTATTTAGATGTCATGCTCCCCTAGGAGCATTTGAACGATGACATCCTTTTGTAAAGTTCACCCCTTGCACCATGGGATTATTTTAATAAAAACCACTGCTAGAATGTGCTACAGGAGGCAGCATGGTATCTGCTTTGTATGCAGAGCTCCTTTTTAACTGTAGAGACCACCAAACTAGAAAAAGGGAAATTGGTTTAATGTGTCCTGAACTATAAAGAGCATTCAGACAATCTCTTCACCCATTTATCCCTACAGTTCTTTTGCTGAATTTTATCACAATTTGTACAGAGACTTGCCACTGTCCTCTAACTTTGCTGCCCTAGGCACTGGCCTAATAATGGCTTTTAAGTAGAGACCTGCTTGTGCCCTTCCTGTATAAAATTTTAATATAGTTTGTTTACACTCTCCATAATAGGAAACATAAAGATAAGCCCTTAAGGTACAATTAAAAATGTTATTCTCCAAAAATGGCATCAAAAGCCCACAATTGCATATGCTTTACTTTCTGAAAGTGTGAATTTAGACCCAAGAAGCTAGTGGGCTGAATTAAAAAAACGAAGAAACAAACAAATGGATTCTTCCATTCACATAAACAAGGTGGATAGAGGAATCATCCCCCCTGAGATATTGTAATCTGACAGTGGGGACTCTGCATCATCACAATACGCTGATCAGCAGCTGCAGCCTATCGATTGCAGCTGCTGATTGAGAAAAAGTTTCCAGCAAGCCCGTTCCAATGATTGGCTTCTGTTGAGTGGGATCAGCCACACAAGGATTGAAATTTGACTTCTACTGACCCAGATGAATTTAAATGAATGAGTATAAAGTGATTGTAATGGAACAAATTAATTTTTTTTAAATAACAAGCATGTTATACTTACCTGCCCTGTGCAATGATGTTGCACAGAGCAGCCTTGATCCTACTCTTCCCAGTCTCCAATAGTGCTCTTGGCTCCTCCTCCTGTCGAGTGCCTACCATAACAAGCAGCTTGCTATGGGGGTGCTCGTATGGGCTCACCTTCAAGCCAGCTCTCTGAGCCCATAGACACACAGAGCATGGCTCTGCCCTGTCCCACCCCCCCCTGCTATCACCTCAATGACTGTAATTGACAGCAGTGGGAGCCAATCTCTGAGCTAATGAGGAGGAAGAGAGCAGAGAGCAGAGAGAGACAATGCTCTCATGCACAGAGCTGGATCAAGATCTGACTCACATAAGTATAAGGGGGGGCTGGGGGAGGGGGGGGGAGTTGCATACAGACTTTTTTTTACCCCAATGCATGGAATTCATTAAGGTAAAAAAAAAATCCTACAGCCTTTAGAACAAATTTAAGTCACTGGACTGAACTGATAAGTTGTAACATGGAGTCCTTTATCAGATCAGATACAGGGGTTCATATTTATTTTTTTTTCTACATAAAAAAAGCCATGCAGCAGATCACTTAGACAAGCCCAGTGGCCTCTCTTGATAACACAATAGCATGAGAGGTTCAAACTACCTTTGGAGGTGTCATGGTAACTTGATTGAACCCCGTGCAGAAATCTTACTACCTGCATTAACCCTTTTGATGCCAAAGCCATTTATGCACTTTTTGCACACCTTTAAAAAATAATTTTGGGCTTGAGGATTTTTTAAATTCCCCAAACCGTATACATTTTCTGAAAGAAGAGACCCTGGAGAATAAAATGGTGGAAAATCCAATTTTATTTAATGTCATGAGATATTAGTGCAATGGTATATCAAGAGCTAACTTTCAGAAAAAAATACACTAATGTGTAAAAAGTATTCTAACATGTAACACGTGTAGCTCAATTGATGTTAATGTATGTGAGGGTAGGCTCAGCATTTTTATTTTTATTTTTTAAGTCCTCGAGTGTACTTTTAATTTCTTATTACTTTTAATATTAGATATTAATACGTATTCATAACTGAAATTGTGGAACATGGACTACACCATGGATATGCTCCAGTAAAATCCATGCTCCTGCTGAGTTCAAGTCACTGTGCAGAAAATGTGCTGTGCAGTAAATGTGCTGTGCAGAGACTACAAAAGCCTGGTGCAAGAGAATTTTGCTTTATATGTATTTTATTTATTATATTCAGGGTTGAACATTTTTTAAAAATAAGTTTTTCATCATTTTACATTTACATATTAATCTTTGCTACATACCATCTGCAGTCAGCAGGTAGTGCAGTTATTATTATTATAATACAGGATTTATATAGTGCCAACAGTTTGCTCAGCACTTTACAAAATGAAGGTAGACATTACAGTTACAATACGATTTGGTACAAGAGGAAACAGAGGGCCCTGCTCATTAGAGCTTACAATCTAGGAGCAGTTAAGGTAATTCTTAACTACCTGTGCCAGGCCATCATTTTAACACTATGTTGTGAATGCAGCAGATTGAGTAATAGGAGAGACAACCCCTTATTCTTCCTTTTTAGCACCTACTGTCCCTATGAAGTTTTAATTAACTAGAAATTAACTAGAAATAGCCAGAAGTTACATCATATAACTAATGAGCTTTCTTATTAGTAATTCCAATATGCCCCAGAAGGACTGCATGATGGCACACCCTACATTTAATGTTTATTTGTAAAATAAAAATTGTATATAATAAAAGAACATTTAAACAGTTATAGATATGTAAATATATAAGAAAAAGATAAAAAATATACAAAATATTTCAAAATATTTCAAATATTTTTATTTGTATGATCTGAAGTACAATGAAAATTGTGGATCTTTCATTCAGCAGACCAAAAAGTATGACAATTATCCATTCTCCAATTATTCTTGCATCACTATAATAATTACCTGTCACATGGGGATCTATTTATAAGGACTTAGAAAATAATGCCATATTTGCTAGGTTGGGTGCACTTGAATTCACCAGCAATGACTTGAATGACTTCTAGGCCACTGTCCTGGACCAGGGGCGGACTGAAAACTCATGGGGCCCCCGGGCAATAGGGGATCATGGGGCCCCTGTGTCCTTGCCCAAACTCAAAAAAGCCTTTGAAAAAGGTACCAGGGGCATCTCATGGGTTCCCCTACTGACCCCGGGCCCTCGGGCAGTGCCCGAGTTTCCAAATGGTCAGTCCGCCCTTGTCCTGGACCAAATATGTTGCTAACTTGATTGTTCCAAATCAGTTACTCATACGACAGAATCCAATAGCATTTTTTCCTGGAGATTTTATTACATTTCTTGTTAGCTATAAAGATTTTTGGCACTAATGTTAGTCATTGGGTGTCTCGAAGAAAGAAGTAAACATGCAAATTGCTAAATTTATGGACAAAGGGCTGTGAAATCAGTCAGAACAGGTAAATTATTTGATTCTTGATCCAATCCTCAGGGAACTGTCCAGTGCTCTTTGAACACGTTAATCAACTCAGTTATTTTTATTGACTGACTAGTGTTGTGTGTGGTTTATTCATGAGTGTTGCTCTATTAGGATTTGAAGAGCTTAAATAGATTTTACAAGGAAATAGATATTTTATCTGAAAGTGAAAAGAAGGCTTTTGTTTAAATATAGGCCATAATGAAGCATGCAGTAGACTTGAAAAACTTCCTGTCAAAAGCAAAGACCTGAGCTGCATGTCGGGCAAACTGCTGAAAGACGTATATGTGAAATGTTTACCTGCGACATTTTTTTGACAGTTTTATACATTACTCATTGTAAAATATCATGGACTTAAAGATAAATATATTTAAACTTAAAAAAATTACATTTTCCCAAAGCTGCTGAAAGTTAATTTTAATAAAAAATGATGAACAATAGTTATAATTATGGCTGACCATAAATATTTAGTGTCCTTGATCAAAGGGATGAGATGACAACATAACACCATGGGGTAGATTTTACCCACAAACAGTTGACTTTCTTTCTAATGATCCTATATAGTGCATTCTTGTCATGGGCAAATTTAAAGTTTATTTTCACTTTTGCAGTCAAATGTGAGAAAACACCACTGTATATTTGTTATGTGTTCTCAATCACTCTGCCAAAAATAAAATCTCACATTTTAGATGTTTCTTAGGCATGGCAGACTGTGAGCATTTCTGAACAAGTTAAGTGTGAATTTGTTCCAATAAAAAGACCTAGCATGGGCTGAGTTTTATCTCATTAACATACAATGCAGGAGGCCAATTTTTAAATCTGTAACCCTTTGTTAGGATTAGCACAGTAAAGGCAGGATTAATTATGACAAACACAGCTACCTCATAAACAAAAACAAAGAGAGCTCAGTTGAATTTTTCAGTGTTGAGGTTTCCAGAAAAAAACATCCAAAAGGCAAGCTACAAATTTTTTAAGTAAGGCTATATGAATGGGAACATGCATCAATTACATATTAGAAAATAGGTGTTATCCCAATTTGGCTCCAAAGGTGGTTTGTATTTCAATGTTTTTTATTAATTTTAAACATTTTAAATAAAGAAGGACTGAATCAAAAGGCTCTCCAA